AGCTAAGAAGGCTCATAGTGGGGGGGGGGAGATGCAGTCCTTTAAGTTGGCTATAGGTCCAATCCTTTTAGGGCTTTAGAAGTAATAATCAGTGCTTTGAATCGGACCCAGAACCGGATGGGTACTAAGTGCAGTTGTGGTAACAGGGGTGTTGTAAGCATCCTTTTGTCAAGTTCTCTCACTCAAGCACATCCAAGTTTAAAAAATTAAATCTGAATTCCCTTCCTTACTTTCCTTGCGGAGTTTCAGAGTTGAACGGGGGATACTTCAGATGAGACACAGCATGCTGGACACACACATAAGCCTGCCATTGAAAATCACAACCAGATCTCAATTACGTATCTGCTGGTGTCATCCAGGCTGGGCTACTGCAACACCACCTGTAAGGACTGCCCTTGGAAGCAACTTAGAACCTTCAGTTGATTCACAATACCGTATTTTTTCCGTGTATAAGACCTCCACCCCCTTCCTAACCCAAATTTTCTTTCTTCACAAAAAGTGGAGGGGGAACACAATACCATATTGTTTCCATGTATAAGACCTCCACCCCCTTCCTGACCCAAATTTTCTTTCCTCACAAAAAGTGGAGGGGGAAAGCAGGAATCAAAGCACTTTGATCCCTCCCCCTCCTTACTTCCATGTATAAGATGACCCTCGATTTTTAATCTAAAGGTTTTAGGCAAAAGTGTCGTCTTATACACGGAAAAATACGGTATATGATATTGTTTCCATGTATAAGACCTCCACCCCCTTCCTGACCCAAATTTTCTTTCCTCACAAAAAGTGGAGGGGGAAAGCAGGAATCAAAGCACTTTGATCCCTCCCCCTCCTTACTTCCATGTATAAGATGACCCTCGATTTTTAATCTAAAGGTTTTAGGCAAAAGTGTCGTCTTATACACGGAAAAATACGGTATATGCCGCCAGGACATCCCCGGTAACCAGCAGTGGGAATTAAGGATTTGTTTCTCCCTTTTTGAGCCCTGATGCACTAAATAGGCCAAGCCTTCTAAATTTCTGTCTGGGCTTTTGTGGGAGGTGATTGATTTCACGAGAGAAGATGCCCGTCTTTGCTTGGAAAGGAATAAGGAGAGAGGCAGAAGGACTCCCTTGGATTTCAAAGCCTAGCTTTCCCCTTCTCTGACCTTCGTTCAACCTCCTTCAATATCCTTAGGATCGCTGGTGTCACCTCCCTGCTACCTCTTACATTTCCCCTCTTGATTCTCTTTGGTTGGGAGAGGGCAGATGTGACGTCTTCTCTTTGATCTTCAGAATTAAGTGGCAGCCGTGGCTCCCCGCAGCTCCACCTGAGCGTGATAGAAATGGGATATTGCTTATCTTTCTGAACTCCACGATTGTCCTCTAACAAATACTAGCTTTCCTGTCTTCTTATAGAATAAGGAGGGGGAGTAGGGCTTTCTTTGAGAAGGGCAGCCTTTGATCTTCTAAAGGCTCCAGATTTCAGAGGCTTGGATTCAGGAGTTCATTGAGCCGGGACCAGCAAGGAGGGCATCCACTCCACCCTAAAGGATGGATGCAAGGCGCCTAAGGGAAAAGGTCAATTGACAAACTGCCTGCAGCCAATACCACTGCTGTGGTCTGGATTTTCTCTTGTGCCAGAAGACAAGGCTATGCACCAATTGGCCCTCTGTACCCAGGAAGGAGGGAGGGAGGGAGGGAGGGACATAATAGGCTACAACAAGATTTTGCCATTTCCCCCCCTTAGCCATACTGATAGATTCATCTCTCCATTTTGGTGCTCTGGGACAAAGCCCTAGCTGCTATCGATCGATTGATCAATCGACCACCCGTCTGGCCAACCACTTAATGAGAGAGACAGACAGACAGTCATACAGATTGATCGATTCCAGGTTCTGTTTGGATAGGCATCAGCTGCCCAGGGAGACAGCCGGGAAAGGTGTGTTCTAACCGTTGCTCCCCAATTCTGGCGATGCAGGTGAAGGAACCGGGGGACCATCTTCCTACAGAACCGATGCCCTCCCACTGAACTGCGCTGTGACCTTACTGAAAAATGTGGGACTTGTGAGTCAGGCGTAACTCAGGCCCCAGGAAGCCGCTCCTTTTCTTCTACATATAGGCAAAGCACGTGCTCGTCCTACCACTAGCCTATAAGCCAAGAGAAAAGAAGAGGAGGATCAAGGACTATCATCCTTCCAAGTCCTGGGAATCAGATGATCCTCTGAAGCTGCTGCTCTGGTCTCACACTCTAGAATCTCCCTCCATCTCTGAAACCATCAGTTCTCCTTCTCTCTGGCCAACCACTTGACTCTCAAAAGAACGACCCTTTCTCAGGCGGTCGGAGGCAAACAGGGGAAGCCACCTCAAGCCTCCTGGTAGTCCGATTACAGAAGGGAGGAAGACCCAATAATTAAGCAACCCGCCATGAAACAGACAGCGGCGGTGCGCTTTCACCTTCTTACACACAAGAGGGTCATGGTGGGTCACGTCCATGCTCAGCCAGCCAGTGAGATCCACCCTCTGGACTACGATTTAGCCCGAGGAGAATCTTTTAAGACTTATGTGGGATACATAGGTTGTTATTTTTTTACTTCCCCTTCAGCTTTCGACAAGAGCCATGCATTCAGATTGAACAGCGGAAGACAGTTGCCATCCCACCTCGGCCAGGCCCATGGGGAGGGAGAACATAATTAACATCCCGTGTGCGCTGCACGATTTATGTCTCATGAAAGAAGTAAAGGAGAAATGACACATTATCGGAAAGCAACCTCCAGGTATTCCTTGCAAAGCCAGCTCGACGAAAGATGGAGAAAACTGCGAGACAGGAAACCTAACTCCTCAAACTGACATGTGGCAGTACGAAAAAACAACAGAAAACCATTTATCTTTTAAGAGATGATGATCTCTATGTCTGCAGCGCTTGGGGTTCCCCAGCAATTCTGGTGCCCCTCGGTTGCCTGTCTCCGTCCCCACTATAGTCATTTTTTGTCCTGGACCCAAAGAACATTCATTCTTATGGGTAATGAGAAAGAAGGATTAGGCAGGAAAGAATGGGAAAAAAAGAACGCAGATACACCATGGAACGCTTGCAGGGTTTTTTGCCTGCAAACCTCAACACCTACCAGTCCTTCCTGATTTATTGGCTTGCCTCTCCCAGTTTACAATACATTTTCTTATCTATTTAAAAATCTCTAGTTGAAGGATTGAGCAGTCCCTTTTTTCCCCCTGATGTACCAAACATAGCTCTTATCCCTGCTGCGGTCTCATTCATTCATTCTCGGTCATAAATAGGTGCATTGATTTTACTGCCCTGAAATAAGACATTTTCTCAGGCTGCTATGAATCTTCTGCGAGCTTTCCATAAACGGGGAGACAGGTTATATCTCCTGTGCCCCTTGACATTTCCGAAAATTGAGATTCTCTAGAAATTGTGTACAGGGGAAAGGCAGCTCTTTCACACTTCACTAAGATGATCGGGGATCAAACCACCGAGCAAGTTGGTATCCGTTAACGGTAGCTCTTGCTAGGTTTCAGTGACCTTGAGGATACAGATTTGCACCCAAAGTGGGTAACAGATCCTCTGGACAAATTCAGAGAGGTATTCAGCACTGGTTATGTCTCATCTAGAGTCCAGTTCTGGACACCACCCTTGAAGAAGGAGGCCCGCAAGCTGGAGCAAGTTCAGAGGAGGTCAACCAGGAGGATCAGGGGACCAGAAACCAAGTCTCCCTAGGAGGAAAGACTGGAAGAACTGGGCATGTTTAGCTTCAAGGAAAGAAGACCGGAGGGGAGATTTGATAGCACTTTTCAAGGACGTGAAAGGCTGTCCTACAGAGGATCTGTTCTCAGTCTGTGCAGGATATGTTCTCAGTCACCCCGGAGAGAAGGACACGGCATAATGGGTTCAAGAGACAAGAAATCAGATTTAGGCTGAAGAGCAGCCAAAACGTCTTAAGTGAAAGGCTTTCCTACAGAGGAGGGTGCAGGATCTGTTCTCAGTCATCCCGGAGAGAAGGATAATGGATTCAAGAGACAAGAAATCAGACTTAGGCTGAAGAGCAGCCAAAACGTCTTAACTGTCAGAGCTGTCCGACAAGGGAACCCATGAGCTCAGGAGGTCGTGAACGCGCCAAACCTAGAGGCACGCAAGAGAAAATTTGAACCACCCTCTGTCAGATCTGTTTCGATCGGGATTCCTGCACTCCGCAGAGGGTTCGACGTGATGGCCTTCCAACTCAAGAGCGCATTTTTCTACATCAGCAGGGCTATTCATCAAGTGGGGAGATGTTCCACTGTCCAAAACATAGCCGGAAAGAGGCTCCCCGGCCCATTCCCACCGAGGTGCCCCGGATATTAGGACAGTTATTTCAGCAGGTGAAAATTCCAGAATCCCCTCTTTCTGCTCCTGGCGCTTAAAGACAAGGCGACAAGGACAGCAGACAAAGAAGCAAGTGACCCTCACCGTTTTGAGCAGAGCGTGCTGTTTTTTTTGTGAGGGACGGGGCCGGACTGCCATTTCCAGAATTCTGCAGGCTTGGGAATTGTACACTAAAAATATACTATTCCCCCACCCACCCAGACCTCAAATTGTGAGTCATTTTGGAACTGTGTCGAAAGTTGTGTGAGGAGGTATTTTCTTCTTTTATTCCTGTGTGGGTCACCCCAACGTGCTTGGCATGTTTTCTTCCTGCAATTTGTGTCCAGGGAAAGAACCCAGTGTTATTATTTTGTCTCAGCGGGATCTCTTTCTGAAAGAATGGGCTAAACTCATTTTTTTTCTCTCTCTCCAAAATGCAATAAAGCTTAACTCCTTCCTGGACAAAATTCAAACTGCTTAGCGCTTTTCTGCTCCACACCCACAGAGATGATGGACCAAAAAAATCTCTGCAGAGTTCCAGGCGCACACAATACTGCGTGGGAGTGTGTATATATATATTTTCCTGTGTACCCAAGTCCCAATTTACATCGGCTCACAGAAGCCAGGGAAAATCAAATCAAATGATGTAAATGCACATTCTCATAGAAGAACATTAGTTTATTTTGCATGCACTAAAGTCTTTATTCAACAGACAACATATATTGAAAAGTGAAGGAATAAAGCAAGAGCAGATGGTTCTCCAGTAATAAATTTTTAAAGAAAACTAGATTGAACACCTGATGTCTACCCAACAATTTTCAATGCTTTATTTTCTGCATTGATGCTCCTTTCTTTATTTTAATTCTTAGTAGAGTAGGACCCAAAGTATCAATGGAGGATCCGTTCCAACCCCTCTGAATGCTGAAAAATGCAGAGGTATCGAATACGATACACAGCATGGTCTCTGACTCCATCTAGTGGCCCGTTCTTATAAATATGACCTGGAAATACATCTAAATAGGTATGGGGAGTGTTTAGTACTGTATTTTCAGCCAGTGGATAAGTGAATCAGTGGATACTGAGTCTGCAGATAAGGAGGTCCTACTGTATTTTGAGTTCAGCATTATAAATGCACAAACTCTGCTTTTTTAAAAAAAAATCAAATAAATACTGTAAATCCTAACAATAAAGCTAAGGAAATGTTATGAAAATATGCCCAATAGCCATTCCATGGCATTTATGGTCAGGAGGACGTAACAGAGAGATTGGGTTCGCCCTGCCTCTCCAAATGTTGAAATGGCCAAACGTTTGTTTTAGACTGCTCGGCCTTTGGGACTTCATTTCCCAGAATCGCTGACCATTCATCAAGTTGGTTGGGATTTCTGGGAAATGAAGTCCAAAAACAGCTGCCGGGTCAAAGGATGAGATCCGCGCGGCTCCAAAACTACAGATCCCACAATCCATTGCCATCACCTGGGCTGAGGCTTCTGGGAGATGAAGTTCCAGGATGGTGTGAGGGCTGAAAATTCCCCGTGCGTGACCATAGAGGCGGTCATTCATGGCCATCTCATCTGGGATCCAGAAGTCCTCCTGTTGGCTCTATCATCATCATCATCCCCATTGGAGATTGGGTGGGACATTCCACCCGCCAGGAGGAGGGGCCCGCAGGGAAGGCGGCAGGTCCTGAACGGGAGGCCAGCCGGGAGGATACTGGAAAACCGACTGTTCCTCGGGAAGAGTACTGGCGAAAGAAAGAAAAAACCCACCATTTATTGCCAACTCAGGGTTTAAGGCGATGCGCAACAGCAGCTCCATCTTGGCCAACTCCACACATACAGTCAACAACATGAATTTCTGATCTACTATAAGGCCTTGAGCAGCTGGCTGGATAGTTTAGGTCTCTGGCTATGGAGCCATATTTTGGGAGTTCAACCCCTCCCACTGGGCCTCTGGGGAGAAAAGCCAGCCTGGGAAGCCTTGGGCCAGCTGCACGGTCCCACATCGCCCCCTAGAGGAAGGGAAGGGGAAGGCACTCTTGAGTACGATCTCCTTAGAAAACCCTGGAAAGGGTGGCTATAAAGTTGGAATTGACTTGACGGCGGAGCATGATTACAATAAAGCCTTGAAAGGTGGATCATCAGGCTTCTGCTTAGACGTTACGGCTAAAAATAATCTTCCCTGGCATAGGAGTACCTACTGATTGTATCGACATCTGGCTTTGGATGCAGCATCACCACAATGAGGTGTTAAGAAATGCTGTTAAAAGAAAAGCATCCATCGCATTTATGCAGTGTGGCTGTTTTTTCACGGGTTGCTTTCCCAACGAGGTGCCCCCCATTCAGAATTTGTTGGGACACGGCTGCAGAGGAAACCGGAGCGACCGGGCAAGGCATGGTGTGTAAGGCAGCCTCTTCTATTAATGGCACAACCTTTCGGAGGGAGGGAGGGAGGGATTGCCACGTCATAAAGGGCGGCCCTGCTTTTAAGCTTGCAAGAGATGAGCCAGGCTGTTAAGGAGGAGGCTCTTGAGAGTCCCCTGGACAGCAAGGAGAACAAAGCTATCCATTCTGAAGGAAATCAACGCTGAGTGCTCACTGGAAGGACAGATCCTGAAGCTGAGGCTGCAATACTTTGGCCATCTCATGAGAAGAGAGGACTCCCTGGAAAAGACCCTGATGTTGGGAAAGGGTGAAGGCAAGAGGAGAAGGGGATGACCGAGGACGAGATGGTCAGACAGGGGCATCAAAGCTATCAGAATGAATTTGAGACAACTCTGGGAGGCAGTGGAAGACAGGAGGGCATGGTGTGCTCTGGTCCATGGGGTCACGAAGAGTCGGACACGACTAAACGACGACGACGTTAAGGAGAGGAACTCTGAGGATGTTCATGATGGGATGATGTGGGGTTCAGAAGGAACTGGATGGCGCGCAGCCCCAAGAGCCTTCTCAAATCATAACAACGGAGGGAGGAGGCAGAGCGGGCAAAGCGCGCCTTCCTGCCGTCAGGAATCCAAGGCGGCATCTTCCCTCCCGGTCCCGTTGGGCAGACCCAGGGAGAGAAGCGCCCACCTCCACAAGGTGGGCGGGAAGAACACCCACCTGTCAGCCTTGGCCGTGCCAAGTCGCTTTGCCCGCTTCTCCAGCCAGTCTTCAATGGTACCTGGCGGGTTGACTCTCCCCTCGTGCTGCTGTTCTTTGGCTCGCTTCTCTTCTGTTTTTTTTTTTTTGTGGGAAAACAGACCAGCGTCAAGAGGAGATCCTGCCAGGCGTCCACCCCATTAAATCTAATCCTCCTCCCCCCCCCCTGCTTTTCTGGAGAACCACCCCATAAAATCCAATCCTCCTCCCCCCCTGCTTTTCTGGAGACTAAAAGAGGAGGCGGTAGGGGAGAGCAAAAAAACAGCCAGCGAGATGGACCTCCTGGACACTCAGGAGTGGTCCCTCCCTTCCCCCACCTCCAATGCAGGGGGTGATTCTGCAGTCTCCGAGCACCAGTTTGGTGCAGAGAAAAGAGTGATGGTCTAGGACTCAGGAGATCTGGATTTGAAACCTTGATCAGCCCATAGAAACCTACGGGAGAGGTGGAACTGGGAAAACCACTCCTGAAATATAGAAGGACCTGTAAATCCACAGGGGAAGTGTTCCAAGCTCCTGTTGCAGAAGCTGAAAAATGCAGATTATAGTAAAACACTATTTCAACAGTGAATGCTATACATAGTGTGGTCTCTGGCTCCCTCAAGTGGCCAGTTCTGGTAACTTCACCTTTGGAAATATATACAGTATTTCTCGGATTTTTCTTTTAATATTTTAAATATTTCTTTATATTTTCAGACTGTAGGTAAGTGAATCATTAGAGGTTGATCCAGCAGATAAGGTCCTACTGTACCCCTCCTTGCTTGGAAAGCCCAATGAGGGTTGTAATGTCATTTCTCCCCAATACACACATCCCCAGGGGAGGAATGTCATAAGAGAAAGCAGCCGGCCAGGATCTTTCTGAATCCTGCTTCTATGCTGTCACCAGGGCTTGGGAATGCCTTGGGTACCATTTCCCAAAAAAGGTGTTATTTGATCGCCACTGTAGCTAAAGCCATCCCTTACCTTGCACCTGTCTTTTCAGCTTCTCCAAGTCCTCCTCTGTCATGTGAGAAAACCTGCAGTTGGGGCCGAAGTCACACTGCCCTGCAAGGAAAGGAAGTATATCAATGGAGGAGGGTGGGAGAGGTCAGGGGAGAGGTAGCCGATCGATATCTCTACTATGAAGAAGGTACAACCCTCTTGATCACATCCAGCCGGCATCATCAGCACAGCCCAAAAAAGAATAATTTTTTTATTTCTCTGTCACATTTATTTATAGGCTGCCTTTCTCCCCAAATGGGACCAGAGGCAGCTCACAACAATTAAAATCATAACAAAAAGTTTAAAATACTGTATATTAGAAAAACAATTAAACATTTATTTAATTTATACCCCCGCCCATCTAGACCAAAGTCTACTCATTGGTCAGGATTAAAAACAATGTTGAAAACATCCAAAACTTTAAAAAAAACATAGAAACTTCAAAATAGAACATTTCCTAGACATTTATGGCTTAAAACCTGTCTAAATAGGAAAAGCTTTGCCTGCTGAAAGATAAGAGAGAGGAGGCCAACCCAGCTTTTCTGGGCAGTGTCTCCCAAAGCTTAGGGGGGGCAACCCCCAAGAAGGCCCTGTCTTGGTCCTCACCGAATGAACCCAGAAAGGTAATAGGATCTGAAAGAAGGGCCTTCTCAGAAGATCTCAAAAGCCAAGAAAGCTCATATGGGGTGGTGAGTCATTCCTTCAGTAGGCATGGACCCAAACTTATAGGGCTTTATAGGTAATATTCAGCGCTTTGAAATGAACAATAAATCACCGTTGATTTAAGCCAGGAAAGAGCACCTGAAGTCACTTTTCTAGACCCAGAACGCTTCTGCCCATCAATGCAAAAGATCCCTTCCCATCTTTTTATTTAAATGTAACTTTTTTTGCTAAAGCAGGATGTTGTGGGACAGCACATACCTTTTTTAGAGCATTGTGCCCTTGAGAAAAATAATTTTATTTTATTTGGTCTGGAGGAGATCTGCCCCCATTTTGACAGCCTGACCTCTGCGGAAGGTGACCTGTAGAGCTGCAGAGACATGAGTCCCATGGATGCAGCAAAGCGTCTAGGCTTCATGGACGTAAAGTAAGGAACAGTGAGGAGGAGTTAAATACAGGGGGGGCAGGAACAATTTCTACCAAATGCTAAAAAAACCTAAGTAGATCTAAAACAGAAGGAGATGAAGTTCTTTGTCCCTGTTTCTATAGTACAGTATGGACCTCGTATCTGAAGGAATGGTATCTATGGGTTTATTTAAGCACGGTCAGAAACTATTAAAAGCCAAAAAAACCCCTAGAAATATGTATTTTCACAATGCATTTACTACAACTGGCCACTAGTAGGAGCCAGAGACCATGTTATGTATTCTTGTTGGTGCAGTATACACAGCATGGTCTATGGGTCCCTCTAGTGACCAGTTCTGGTAATACAAGGTGAAAATACTTTTTTTCTGGATTTTTTTCATTTACCATTTTTTTCTATTATCAATGGTTTTCAGCATCCACCGGGGATGGGTGGGGTTGCCACCAATCCCCTGAGGATACTGGGGTACTTCTGTACACTGAATCCCAATTTATCTCATCCAGTTTAAACTGGAAAAAGGAACAGGATGTTGTGCGCAGGGCAGGGCAGAAGCACTGGGGAGAAAAGTCTACCAGTTTGCAGAAATTTCCGACAGGTTTTCTTGCTCTGCTCCTCCTGCAGGATGGCTGCAGCATCTGTGGAAAAAGCCAGGGAGAGAGAGATCAGCAGTCTCTCCTAACATCCACCTGACACACACAAAGAAGTTTACACAAGAATCCAATCCATGCCATGGAAGGAAAATTAAGAGCAAGGGTCTTATGAGTAACAATTATCTGCCTCTGACATCACAGGACAGAACTCTGAAAAGTATCTGTGTGGGGGATCATTCTCCCTGTTTATACAGCCTGGCCCCACACAGAGCCCACTGCACTCATCTCAAGACTGGACTACTGCAATGGGCTTTGTGTGGGGCATCCTTTAAGGCTGGTGAAGAAAATGCAGCTGCTGCAGGGTGCTTCGGCTAAGCTTCTGAGCAGAGCCGTCTGTAGCACCACTGCTGAAGGTATTGTACGGGTATTGCCTCTTTGCTACCAAACCATGTTTAAGATTTTGTTGTAAGCCCAGGTAAAGGTTCCCCTTGACATTTAGTCCAGT